GCCAAACTTACAAACGATACTAATACTCACGTTTCGACTCGAGTCATGGGAACATTTGGGTGAGCAAGAGCTGGGTGGAAATATAATATTGTACTGCTTAAGACCGTTCCTTGGAATTTATGTTCAAGTTGGCTTTCAGGTACATGGCACCTGAGTATGCATCAAGTGGGAAATTGACAGACAGATCAGATGTGTTCTCATTTGGAGTTGTGCTTCTAGAGCTTGTAACCGGGCGTAAACCTGTTGACACGAGTCAGCCTCTTGGGGATGAGAGTTTGGTTGAATGGGTAAGGACATTTTTACCTCTCTATAACATGTTACAAATTAGTTGTTCACAATTCAAGAACGTGCTTTCCAAAATTTGGCAGGCTCGTCCGATCCTCCTTAAAGCCCTTGAAACTGGGGACTTGAGTGAATTGGTGGATCCTCGGCTTGAGAAGCATTACGTGGAGGGTGAAATGATCAGAATGATTGAGGCAGCTGCGGCATGCGTACGTCATTCTGCTCTTAAACGACCAAGGATGGCTCAGGTGATACTAATAAAAAGCAGCACTAGTAGAAGTAGTTGATTTGCTTCTTTTTCAGGCTTGAGCCAGTCTAATTTCAAATTGTTTTTCAGGTGGTGAGAGCATTGGACTGCGAAGGTGAATTGTCTGATCTGTGCAATGGAGTGAAAGTTGGGCAGAGCACTGCATATGACTCTGGGCAGTACAATGAAGACATTGTGAGATTCAGGAGAATGGCATTAGGCAGCGAAGGCAGCTCAGAGTATGAAATGTCAAGCAGAGAGTTCACCACCAGAGAAATATCTGGACCCCAAAGTGTATGGACTCGCCCCGATTCAAGCGACGAATCAGAAACTCGAGCCTTTACAACCCGCGGTGGTGAGAAGGGACTTAGCGGCACTCAAGGCAGACACAACTTCTAATTTCTGAATGTTAATCTAGTCCATGGTGCACACCAGAGAGAGAGAGAGAGAGAGAGAGAGAGAGAGAGAGAGCACTCAGTTTTTTTAAGATAAAAAAAGAAAAGAACAGAAAAAAAAAACACCCTTGTTTGAGTTAATCTGACATATTAGTGTGTAAATTAAGGCTAAGCTGCTGCTTCTTTTTTCTTTTTCATTTTTCCTTGATGAAAGGCACTATATTCTCTAGTTCCCTCAAAGCATTAGCAGCGGGGAAGCTCGTAAAGTTTACTCAAGCTACTTTTTAGTCATTAATATAAAACAATCTGTATTGATAGTAGAGCAAGAAGATTTCAGTTTGCTCATATATATTAGCCTCCAGAACTTCCATACTTATGATCATAAAAAAGAAATAGAACATGTCTAAAGCAGATATTCGTGCAACGAACATGTCTAAAGGAATTATCTAGGTGTCCTTAGTTGAAAATGAAATCTTCACTTCAAAATCGATGATAATCTGTCAATTTATGCCTTTGTGAACTGTCTGATTTGTCTCCCGTGTTAGCTGGATCAACTTGTCTCTCAATTTCTTTGCCTGAATGTCCCTGTTTGCCTATGGTACGGACAAACGCATTGCAAGTAAATGTTAGAAAAGTGATCAAAGAAATTGTTCTTACTTGCTATTGACATGATTTCTTATGATAGTTTCAAATATAAGCAGAAGTTTCTTTCACAGAATCTTACCTGAACCTTAAGGATGTTTAGGACATTTCCGTCAAATGTGGTAACATTGGCATCAACTACTTGAAGCCCTAAAGAATCCATATTCTCCATCAAATTTGCAAACCCGCCTCGGCTCTGCTCATAGAACAACTTAATCAAACAATCTCTTTTGCCAATCTGGTTCACTTCCACTTGCACCTAAGAGACAAGGCGGCACGTAAATGAACAGAACATTTGATACATTATGCATAGTAGGGATCGTGAACTCTTTCACTAAATCAGCAGACATATACCGAATGTATAAGTTGGAACAAGAGTAACTGCTTAAGTGTGATGCTAAATTCATAAGTACTCATACCGCTGTTGGACTCTTTTGAACAAAACTAGAGGAACCCTGTTTGTGCTCTGTAGAAATCAAGCAAATGCTGCCTTCTTTTCTCATGTCTGAGGCCAGAATTTTCACATCTGCTTTGTTCTTTGTCAAGTCCTCCTCCTCTTCGATTTCCCTGAGCTCATCTTCAAGTTCTTTCACCTTCTTCTTTAACTCTTCAATATATTCAACGGCATCTCCTATAATAGCAGGTATATCCATCTACAAGAAGTCAATAAACGAATAACAAGACCAAATGTTAGTAAGATCAAAGAAAAAAGAGGTTGTCCCTGGAGTCTTTCACAGATAAGATGATCTTAACCTTGCTTATCTTCGGGACTAGAGCACGTAGAGCAAAGTGTCCATCTTTAATCCTGCTCCTCCTATTCCTCTCTGCGAAAAGATTCTTGGATTGGTACTGCCCGCTTCCTGTCTTCCTGGTCACCTTTGCCTTATGTTTCTCTACTACACTGCCACTGCCAGAAGCCAAGCCTGTCTGTTGCTGCAACAAGTTGTCACCACGCCTGGACTTTCTAGAGCGCGAAGATAACAATGGATGTTCACTCGAAGGATTTGAACCGCTGGATGATCCCTCAAGGATAGGACAGGAGGTAGTTTGGGAAACTGATGAGGGGAAAACTTGTGGCCCGGGAATGAAGTTTGCCAAATTCAAAGAAGGTAGCAACTTTTCTGGGCTCTCTTCTGGCAATGGATCAACATGGAATTCATTAAGGCTTGCACTGGCATTGAGGTTCACAATGGCATAGTCATGTGTAGCCATGGGTTCTTGTTTTAAAGAGTTATTGAATGGGGCCATAAACAACTCTAACATCTTTTGATTTTCAGGAATCTGAAAAGTGAACTTCATGTTATTCAAAGTTGGACGAGAAAATATAAAGCGCTGTCTTCTGATGATTAGAAAAGAGAAATAAAAACCTTACATTCTTTGTGGAAAAGAGCTCAATGAGGTCACTTAGCACAGGGATCAACACTCGGGTACCAACGTAGTCCTGTCAAAACAACATTAGTCCATGTTAAGCAGAATGTCTATGCTATTTAAGATCCATCTACTGCATATAATAAACAATTCATAGAGGCACTTTGAGGAGCCTTGGAGCTGTGGGTCTTTGTTTCTAGGAAACTGGCTTTGGGATAGAGAGCACAGAGTGGGTGATTCTAAAATTTTCAATAAAAGCTAAAGCAGTGAAAACAATACAACTATTTCCACGGTCTCGTCTTAAAACGGTGGTCTTTTTCAACCTTTACAATGATGATTTGTTGATTGTGATGTGACCAACCTCAAAAGCCCATATTAAGAAACTCAAAACTGTTTGGTTGCTGAGAAAAAGTCATCAGAAAAGAACGAAGTGAGAGGCATTTTGGGTTACCCACGTGTGATTGTGAAGGATTTGAACCCGAGGCATTGACATGACCACTAAGCCACCTGGGTTGTGCTGATATGATCACCTCCGAATGAATCCTGAGTTCAATCTCACATATCAGAAACAAAAAATCTCTTGGTCTGTTCACGCCAAAACTCAAACACATAAAATGCGAGCCAAAATCAGAGACTTTACCCAGAGTAGAGAGGCATAGAAGAAGGCAGCTGGGAAAGAGCCTCACAAGCCTTTGTCCTAATTGGGTGCTTAAGGAAGCCATCCCTGCAAAGTTTAGCAGAGTGGGACTCTCCTTCTTCCTCTTTGACATTAACACAGTCATACTCATACCCACCACCACAACAGCAACCCATCATTTCAATAAACCTACAAATTTCAGCAAACACACAAAAAGTTCAACAGATTCAAAAAAAGATGGAAACTTTTGATGTGGGTTACCTTTTTTTTTTATGTGGGGTTTTATTGGAAATAGCTGATGATATTACCTAGAGGGATCATCGCCAAGTTTCCACACAACACAATAGTCCCATTGCTTGGACTCAACAAGGGGTCTAAGCGACTCAGCAACTCCCTCCAAATTTCTCATTGATTTGTCTCCTTTTGCAATACTTGCAGTGAGTGAGTCCAAGACTAATTGTGTAAGCTTTGCCTTGTGTAGTGAGTTTAGTGAGTGGCGAATATATATTAGTGTGGCACTGACCGACTTACCATGTTGCTTTTATATAACAGGTTCAACCCAAATAATTTAAAGGCACATGGTACACGACAATGCTAACCAACTCCTCTGCTTTTGAATTGGGAGTGTATCGTTTTACTCAGAGGCAAATCTGTGACAGGGGGAATCTGATACCAGCAGGGAAGAGAGAGAGAGAGAGAGAGAGAGCGAGCAGCGACAGTTTTGACTGACTACCAAAATCATTTTACAGAACGACCATCGAATGGTTCAAAAGCTCCAATGGAATTGAAAGCTACCCATAACTGAAAATATTTCATTTCTTGGGCAAAAAGAATGTGGGTAATTGGGTTCATGACACCTTGCATTTATAATTTTGTTCATATACACATAATCTTTTAAGTGCTGAAGCAGTCTTTAAGCTTAATTGCTGGAATTGTTAGACAAAAAATGGTTTTCAATTTCAATGCAATAGCAAATCAGTCATATACTTAATTGTGCAAAGAAATCTGGTATTGAAATCCACATTTGTGTCAAAATCACCTTGTAAGGCTTGTATAGTTGAGGGTGGTGGTGGATAAAAATAAAATTGTGGGGCAAAGAAAATTTGCACAGTATGGTATATATCCGTATATGTTGTCTGCCTTAGCAGGACGGTTACAGTTATCTGATAATTCCTCAACTACCAGTACATCTGCTAGAGGCGGTTGTCTACGGAAAAGCAAGTCACAGAATTGAGGTCTTGATGGGCCTCAGGCCCAGCTACTTTATGACAGCCCACAAAGCCCAGTTGAAATGCTTAGATACCCTTGTGGGTTAGGTTTTCTGCATTCAACTTGACATTCTTTCTTTTATGAGATCAATTGCTTTTATCAGAGCCTTTGTTTTGTTACTGATGAGGGTTTAGTCTTTGCCTCAAGAACATATCAATGGAAAATCACATGCAATGATTATGTACGTTTGTATCACAATACCTTATAACATCATTACGTATCATACTTTTAAGGAAGTTGCAGAGTTGGAAATTATAAATAAATAAAAAAGGAAAAAGAAAACAGAGAAGAACAGAGAAAACGAGAGGACTAATTTAATTTTGACAGATATGCCAATCCGGCTACTACAAGTTACTGATGATCCCATCCTTACGTGTGACATCATCATGCAATTCATCCAGTTGCTCGGGGCTCTCCAATCACAACATGATCACCAGGCTGCTTCATTTCACCTTTCATGTGAATGTGATGATCACCATTTCCATGATGTGGTTTGCTGTGATTGTTCATGTATCCTCTGCTCTCTGATCTGCTGCCATTGCCATTTGGGATTTTCTTGTCAAACCCGAATTCGATGTCGGCGTCTTTTGGGGCACGAAAACTGGGATTATTATTATTCCCAAACTCCATGTGGTTATGATCCACGACAGCTTCTTTTTTGCTGGGACGAAGGTTGTGCGCCGGTTGCTTGTTGGGTTTTGAGTTATGGAGGCGGCGGTTGCAGAGCCGTCCAAGAAAGCAAGCAATGGCTGATATGACAACTATAACGGCCAGCACAATGAAAACGGTCCCAAATGAGCCATTTGAATGGTGGGAAGACGACGGCTGTCCTCTCACGTTGTTTGGGTAAACAAGAGCAGGCTGTTGTTGCTGAGGCTGCAAGGAGGACATGGTGATGATGGTTTTTGATTTGCCACTTGGGGATTGGGATTGGGATTGGGATAAAACAGAGAATATGGGATGGGATTTGGGGGCTAATTAGTATTATTATGAAGGCTGTCTCTGTACGTAGCTGTTGTTCTTTGAGTGCAGACAAAGGGAGACTTGGGTTTACTCAGGAGCCAAGCAAGAACATTAATATGAATATGGATTGCCTGTGAGATGAGGTTATGTTGTGTATAATATTAACATTAATATTAAGATTGGGGGTTCAAATGTTTGGGTTTTGAAATCAAGAAAGGAGCAAACTTTCTTTAATAAAGAGAAAAACTAAAGAGATTCCTTGCTGATCTCTCTTTAGTCTTTACTGCTGAAGAAGGAATTTAGGAGCTGCAAGAGATTGCTTTGTATGGAGAGAAAGCAAGATTTTGGAGGCTTTGGACAGCACATTGCTTCTTCTCAAAAGCCCCTTGGAAAAAAGTAGCATTTGTTTGATAGGCAGGCAGGCTCTCATATAATTTGTACATATATATGATTGGGTGAATGGATGGCCATCATGGAAATCAGTACAAACAAACAATATAATTGAGCACCTAGCTAGTGTTGATCTAACTGTCATTGGATTTCAATTGATTTAATATGTGCATCCAAAAATTCTACAAACAAGTTGTGGGGTTCTCCAAAGCACCCTTATGAGCTTAATGGCCGGGGACATCTTTATTCCTTTTTCTTTTTTAGGCAAGGATTATGCTAGCTAGCTAGGTGGGCTGAGCTTGATTTTAGGTCTTTTTGATCATCAGAGCAAAGCAATATGCAAAGGATAATGTTAGGGCTTATCACATTTTTATATCACGTTGTGTACCACATTTCTAATAAAGGTGAAGAGCACCAATACAATAGGGCCCACCTCTATTAGAGATGTAGTACACAATGTGGTAAGCCTAAAATTTTTCAAATGCAAAATTCTTGTTGGGTTAACTCGTATGGGTTACAAGGAGGAGACATGTGCAATTTGAATGTCCATATGGGTAAGAGTGGGTGTAGGTGAGAAAGCAATGTCGTTACTTCTCACACTTCCTAAATTATGTTTTGAATGTCGAAGAGTAGGCTCAAATGTGTGAATCGAACTAATACGTGGGAGCTCTGGTCAATCCCAATCCTATGGGTGGCTGGTCAAAAGGTGTGTTTACCCAAACTGACACCAAGGCTGAAGTGGGACCACAATGCATAACACCTTTTAATTATTCAATTGAAGAAGAAGAAGAAGAAGAAGAGGAGAAATTATAATGACCAAACCTGTAGCAAAACGAAAAGGAAATTACCCTCAAACCAAAGCATGCACAAACTACTGCAAAACCAAAACCAAAACAACACATATATCTACTACTACCTGTAGCTAACCCTTCACGCATAAAGTCATCCCAAATTTAAACTCAACTCCATCAAATAAATACTCAACATCAAGCTTAATTGGGATCCCAAAATAATTAAAATGCCAAAGGAATTTGATCATCATCATCATCAGCTCCTCCACTCCAAATTCTCACTCTTCCTTCTCTATCTTCTCTCACCCTCAATAGGTAAATTCCAATGCATGGCATGCCATGACACATGCCCTAACTAACTAAAGTTTCCATAACTATTATACTTCAAGTTTAACCTAGGGTTTTAAATTCTTACTTTTGTAGGTTCAACAACCGCAGTAGCGGCACCAATCGGAATCTGCTACGGCCGAGTAGCCAACAACCTCCCACCACAGGCCGCCGTCCTCCAAATCCTTCAAACCAACAACATCTCATCCGTCCGTCTCTTCAACACCGACCCCGCCACCCTCCAATCCTTCTCGTCCACCCCAACAATCCGCCTCACTATCGGGGTCCCCAACGAGCTCCTCCCCACCCTCGCCTCCGCCACAGTCCTGGCTGCCCTCGCCTGGCTCCAATCCAACATCCTCGCCCACATCCCCCCCAACCAAATCCACTACCTCGCCGTCGGCAACGAGGTCTTCCTCAAAGACCCTTACTACATCCCCCACGTCCTTCCCGCCATTCTCAACCTCCACCAAGCCCTCCAAACCCTAGGCCTCTCCCAAACCATCAAGCTCTCTTCCCCGCAAGCCGCCTCCGTACTATCCGCCTCCTACCCTCCCTCCTCCGCCTCCTTCGACCCCTCCCTCCAACCCTCTCTCCTCCCCCTCCTCCACTTCCTCCGCGACACAAACTCTCCCTTCATGGTCAACTCTTACCCCTACTTCAGCTACTTAAGCAGCCATCCCTTCGTCTCTCTCGATTACGCGCTCTTTCGAGCTTCCGGCGCCGGTGAGGTCGTTCTGGACGGTGGGTTGGCGTATAGTAATCTCTTCGACGCGAGTGTGGATGCGTTTGTGAGTGCGATGGAGAGGGAGGGAGTTGCCGGCGTGCCTGTGGTGGTTTCGGAGACAGGTTGGCCGACACGTGGAGGGGAGGCGGCGAGCATTGAAAATGCACTGGCGTATAATGCTGAGGTGGTGAGGCGGGCTGTGGAAGGGGTTGGGACGCCCAGGAGGCCAGGGGTGGGCGTGGAGGTTTTCTTGTTTGACCTGTTTGACGAGAATGAGAAAGGAGGTGAGGAGTACGAGAAGCATTTTGGAATTTTTGGGCCTGATGGGCTTAGGGCTTACGGGCTTAGTTTTAAATGAACATGGGCCTTATGGTTTTGAGGACGGGGCCCGCACTTCAATGCCAATAATGGATCTCCGTCTGGAATTTCTGGCTTCATTATGGGCCCACGCGTTGTATGTTCAGTCGTTTTGTCAGATGCATCAATACTAGAGTGACGTGCCGTTATTCATATTGTCGTCTTCCTTAATCTAATTACTTCACTCTCTTTTAGATTCCTTTGTGAAAATAATGAAGGTGCAAATAGTGTTGGTTGTTATGCGTTATTTTTATCGAACTTATCTTTTTGGAATCTCCTAAAATCGTTGAAGATGTACTAGTAGATAATCTTATGTAATAGTGTTACACGAACATTACTATTTCAATGTTCACACTTGTAAGGAATCAATGTTTGTTTTTCAAATTATAGAGAGAGAGGCCAGAGGCGAAGAGATGCTCTGATTCTTTTTCTTTTTCTTACTCTCCAAGAAAATAATAATAGAGAGAGAGGCCAGAGGCCAGGAAGGAAAGGAATATGAATTTTATTTTTGTCTCTATCATTATAAAGAGAACCCCTGAGTTCTCCACCCAACCCAACCCACGGTGTATTTTCATTGAGAGATGACAATTCCACGCTTGGATCTTGACACTTCTATGCCCAAATAGTATTTGAGGCCACCTTGGTCCTTGATATGAATTTTTTAATGAAGGACTCCCATGAGAGATTTAATGGAGGCTGGATCATTGCTTGTAATTATAATGTCATCAACATAAATCAATAAAGCAGTGAAAGATTAGCCATGTGACTTGGTGAATAGAGAGTAGTCTACATTGGATTGATTAATCCCGCCATTTTTATAGCATTGGAAAATTTGGAAAACTAGTTTTGTGATGCTTGTTTAAGTCCATATAGTGACTTGTTGAGTAGACACATAAGATTCTCCCCCTATCGACGAAAGCTCGGTGGAGGAAGCATATATACTTCCTCATCAAGATCTCCGTGGAGGAACACATTTTGGACGTTGAGTTGGTGGAGAGGCCAATGTCGAGCAGCAACAATAGCAAGCAAGCATAGTGACAAGTTTGGCAGTGGGGGAGAAGGTCTCATGATAGTCAAGGCCTTCTTGTTGGGTGTAGCCTTTAGCCACTAAGTGAGCTTTGTTAACACTCAATGGTGTCGTCCGAACGATGTTTGATTTTATACACCCATTTGCAACCAATGGGCTTGTGCCCATGAGGCAAGGACATGAGGGTCCATGTGTTATTTTGCTCCAAAGCAGTAATCACAGCAGTCATGGCTTGTTACTAATTGGGGTCATGCACAACTTAATCATAAAAAGTGGGCTCTGTTTGACTTAAAATAATAACTAAGAAAGAACAATGTGCGGGTGATAGACAAGCATAAGAAACAAAATTTGACAAGGGATAACGAGTACCTTTCATAGAACTTGGCATAGAGTTGGACGATAGAACCTTGGTATGCAACATAGCATGAGACACTTTATAATTACGATGCCAAATATGAGGTCGTTTAGGACGAGTGGAGTGACGGGTTGGTTCAAGATGAGGAGATGGGTGAGCCGTCACCGAGGAATCCAGTTCTGTGGGAGCGGAAGTGACGGGAAGAGTTGGAGGAAGAGAAACCGGCCCCAGCGAGGCAAGATGAGTGGAGTTATGGTGGTTCGCATGAATTGTGGAAGAATTATTAGATTCATCCATGGGAATAACAGAAGGTGACTCCTCCACTGAAGGATGGGATTAGTCAAGATGCTATGAAACATCAGGTTGATGAGGAAGTGTGAAGAATGGATTCGTACATGGCTCATAAGAAGAGTCTATGCATGGCAAAACAATTAGGTTTGGTTGTGTGTTACATGCAGAATTTGAATAAGGAAAAACATTCTCATAAAAAATGACATCACGACTAGAGAAAAATTGTTTTGTGGTGAGATCATAAAGGCGATATGCCTTTTGTCCTAAAGGATAGTCGGTGAAGATACAACGACGGGCACATGAGTCAAATTTTTGGATAGGATAGACGTTTGTGGCATAACAAAGACACCCAAAGACTCGCAAGTGATTCAATGAGGGTACACGATTATACAATAGTTCATAAGGGGACTTTCTTGACAACAAACGAGTGGGCATGTGATTAATTAGATAGGTAGCAGTAAGGACACATTAACCCCAAAAGATTAAAGGAACATTTGAATGAAATCGTAAAGCACGAGCAACATTTAAAATGTGGTGATGTTTACGCTCAGCCACTCCATTTTGTTGAGGAGTATAGATACATGTAGTTTGATAAAGGATGCCATGCTCCATAAAAAAATGGGTGCATAGAAGCAAACTTGCTGCCATTGTCAACACGTATTGCTTTTATATCATGATTAAATTGAGTATGAACAACAACATGAAAAGATTTTAATAATGGCTGAGTTTCAGATTTGAAGCGCATGAAATATAACCAAGTGCAACGAGTATAGTAATCTATAATGGTTAAAAAGCAGCGTGCACTAGAATGAGAAGTAACTTTATGGGGTCCCCAAATATCACAATGAATTTAAAAAAAAAAAAAAAGGTTCAGTAGAAGAAATTGAACGTCTACCAAAAGGCAATCTAGTTTGCTGTGCATAATGACATGCATCACATTGGTGAGAAGAGTTAGAAGAAATAGCTGGATTTATTTTAGTAAGTAATTGGAGGCGAGCAGGTGAAGGGTAACCGAGACGTTGATACCAAAAATTTGATGAAGTGGAGACGTGATTTGAGGATGGGTGAGTAGGAACAAGGTGAATAAAATAGAGTCCGCCATGTTGTTTACCTAAGCCAATTGTCTTCTTCGTTGCCAAATCCTACAAAAGACAGAAAAAAAAGGAAAAATGAGGACACAACAATTTAGAGATTTGGTAAGCTTGCTAATTGACATTAAATTAATCCTACAAGAAGGGACAAAGAACATTGTGTAAAGAAATATTGGAATCAAAAGATATGGACCCAACGGAATGTATTGGAGCGTTAGCACGAGTAGGTGTAGGGATCTTTTTATTCCAGCAGCTTGACGAATGGGCTTGGGTTGTCGAAAAGAGAAACATGTGAAATTACCCCATGTGCCTGAGTTCAAGAATCAGGCCCCAAGAATGCTTCGAAAGGGAAGTGAAGCCTTATGAAGCATCCTGGTTATCTTCATCAGCAAAAATAACAATTGCTTACAGATAGATTCTTAGCTTGGCATGAGAAGCTTGTGGCATAGGAGCAAAACCATCATGATTTTAGCATAAACAGAGAGAGAGCTGTGAGTTCTTTTGAAAGACAGGGGTTCTAAGGAAATAGAGAATGAATTTTACGAGGGTTTGTTGAAGAGGGAGAGAGATGAGGGTATAATGGGTGTGTTGAGTAGTTTCCGGCAGTTTGACGAAAAATCTGTCAAGCTCTGGAGTGTTTTAACAGAAGAGAAAAGGGGAGGAGATGGAGGAATAAGGCTTAAAATTGCAGAGGCTTCAGGGAGGAGAGATAAAGCTTGCTCCCCAGATGTGTGTTGCTTAGGATAAAGAAAAAGGAGATAGAAGGTGAGGCACTTGGGCTTGATTATAGCAGTTAGAGAATAAGCCTGCTCGACTGCTCTGCTTGAGTTTAACGGGTCAGAGGTACATTCTTTTATAGTCATTAGAAGCTCATTTTTCCCAAGAAACCCTAATGGGCTCTCCAATTTTGCCAAGTCCCCTTTTCATTTCTCTCATCTCCCTTCGATCCATCCCATTTTGTGAAATTCTCCTCTGCCCAATACATAGAGACCATATTTTTAGGAATTCAGAAGTCTTCTTGCAGCCATTCTAGCGGTGATTTCTTATTTTTGGCTATCATTTCTCCTTCTTTCCTCCCTTATTTCATGACAAGATCTAGTAAAGGAAGGAGATAGGTAACTTTGGCTGATCTGAAGGCTGCCTTTTCTCATGTGCGCGCCAATATCCTTTGGTTTTCTGATGGCTTGCATCGGGTTTGTCTTTGGCCATGTGCTGGAGTCTCCCAATAGCCTGAGCGTAAAAACATCTCATGGTTTTCTATTGTGGTTTCATTTCAAACCATGTGCTGGAGATTTTTGGATATTTTCTAAGCTATTTGGGCCTTGCTAAAGTAATGAGTTAGCCCATTAAGAACATGGGCTAATTTCCTTAAGTGATGGGCTAATTTTCTAGGGTATTCAGGCTAATTTTCTAGGGTATTTGAGCTTTTTCCTCTCTTTTATGTTTACCCACATATTTAGGCTCAAGAAATGGGCTTGAGTTTGGGGGCTCCCAAGCAGCCCAAAACTTCCATTTCTCAGCTCATCAATAGGCCTCATGAAAGCTTATTACCATCCATACCACAACCCACTCAAGCAAGCTCCAGACATTTGTGTGGCTTGGGCCCATTTAAGTTTGTTGCGTGGCTAGGTGTAATAATAATAATTTTTCGCTTGGCATTGCATGTCGCTTGGCGTGCTTGAATTTTGTCGTTTTGAAGAGAGACATAGTGCTTGACGGAATAATTAGCATGGGCTTGCAGAGCCAATGCCTTTTATAGGCTTATTTTAATTCTTAGCGTGATAAATTGTATATTTATTTGGCATGACACATGGCTGTGCTCGTGAAAGTGTGCATGACGAATTTCGGGTGCTCTGAACCAGGTCATTTTTTTAATAAGGTGTCGCATTGGGCCAAGAATTTATTTGGGCTCAACCTTAGATTTTTAGGCCTCAACAATAGGTAATTTAATAGATGAAGGGGTCAATGAAGACAATGATTGAGAAAAAATTGAAGGTTGGGATGTGATGTGATCCGTTGCACAACTATCAAGAATCCAAACCTGTGAAAAATTGTTGGAAGAAACTGAATTTTGAAAATCAGAAAAATAAGAACTTGCTAGACTTGTAATGTTTTTTTCCACGTGATTGGCAAAGGTGGAACAAAACTGATCCATGATAAAAAGTAGAATTTTGAGATACAGAGAGCTCTCAAACAAAATAATAAAAAACGACCATAAGGCTAAGAAGAAATCAAATCGTGGTGAAGGTCCCAGAGCCTATTACTCTAATACCATGTGAAAAGTGATAATCTGATGTATATTGTTTGTGTATTCAGTCATAATAATTACAAAGACATATAGCGAATTATACAAAAATATATATGGAAAGAAGTAATAACTACAGCCTAAACTACAGGGATTGCTGGACTAGAGAAGGAAACAGAATCAGTCAAAGCTCTGCAGCAATCTACTCCTATGATTGAGATTTGATATCGTAACAAGTAAACAAAATACAAATTTATAAATAAACCCAATCTTAGACATATATTTATAAAAAAACCTAAGCACTATTTAAACATAGAAACACACCCAAAATCAACCCCAAAGTTAACTTTTTGGGTGTGTTTATAAATGAGTTTTGAGTGTGTGTAATGATGGATTTTGGGTGTGTTTATATGTTTAAATAGTGCTTAAGTTTTTTTATAATTTCAACCCCCATTTTGGGTGTTTTAGTGAAACTCCCTAAACAAAACGTGGCTGAGCTGGTCAACAGCGAACCCCAAGACTTTCGCTCGCTGCTTTCTTCATCCGAGAGAGACTTTCTTGTCCGCAACAATGGTGATAAGGTATAAATTCACCTCTCAATATCTGATTGTTTTACTTTCGCAGTCGAAGATTAACAAGTCTTGATCTTGGGCGGTCTTTGAGGCCTTATCCTTCGTACCCAAATCGGTAAATTGATTGTTGAGCTTATTTTTTGATGATTGTCAGAAGAGAAATATGTAAAATCATGAGGTTTGTTCCCATCGATGAAAATAGAGGACAATCAACCTTGAACACCGCTGCACGCCATTGCAATCAAACCCAGAAGAAAACTACAACAGTGGAAGAAAATATACTGTGGTTTACAATCTGTAACCGAAGAAAATAGTATCTGAAAACTAAAGATGAACATGTATGAGAGTTTCGTGGAGGTTAATAAAAAATTTATAAAAAAAATCTGTTTTTTCTTAGACAAAAGAAAGAATCAGAGAAGAATTATTAGATTCACACCCAAAGAGTATTGAAGCGGATGTTCAATGATGGGTTGGTCACTGCTTTCGGAATCGGTGACGCTAGGTTGTGTAATTGAAGCCACATCTCCCTCCACTACAATGGAGAATCGGAGGAGGAGGCAGCGGCTATAAGCTTCTTGAGCGACAGAACAAAGAAGAAAGAACGTGTTTTGCGCTGCTTCTTCAATATATATATATATATATATATAGCTTCCATTGAGGGATCCCTCAAATAAGCTTATTTAAGGGACACCCCTTGTAGGCCCCACTCCGGATTGTATTTCACGAAGGAAGAGCTGCCATCGCGAGTTGAGCTTGCAAGAATTCTATGCCAATCAGGTAGGTGTATCCATAGCGGTGTTTATGTTTCGTTCTAAATCTGGGTTGTGATTTTCGAATTGGGGTTCTGCAATGGGTTTTTAATTTTAACAATTTCTGGTCAAGGTTGAGATGGGTTATTGATTTGGGGATTCTGTGATAAGTTTTTATTTGAGTTCTAATGGGCAATTCTTTATTTCGGTTAAAATATTCACAGTTCGGCCCAAATAAATTCTCGGCCCAATGCGAAGCTTTACCAAGAAGAAACCCGATTTGGGCATGCGAAAGTTCATCATATGCGCTTGCACACATGCCACGCCAAACGACACGCCACGCTAAGCAAGGAATTATCATTCCGCACCTAATCACGC